ACATTCAGTTGTAGAATATCATAAACGAGAGATTTATTTGAGTCTCTCGTGAAAACCAAATTGATTTGCAAATCAGTGTATTTCTCGAAGACCGTCTATCCTCTTGTTCAAATGACTTGTTATATTGTACAAGTATATATGTATATATGTATATATTGTTACATTCTACCTACACAAGTTTGGCAGAATGTTTATGCACGTCTATCTCTTGGTCCTTAGACAACACCAGTCGGATTGTTCATTCCAACACGTCAGGAGGAGTATAGCGCAAACTTTAGCAGTACAGCCAAACCCAGCAAACTGTCTTAGAGAAACCTCGGTTATTCGGTGAACACACCCTCTGTTAGTATCTAATCCGTAAGCATCTCAATACAAGTGAAGGAGAAAAGACCTTCGATGCAGAGTTATTTATTGGAAAATGCCAACTGGAACATTTGCAAACTATTGGACAGGGAAGCAAAACTCTCATATGCATCTTCTTTACAGAAACTGAATATCCATCTTCTCTTTGGACGCGTCTTCCCGAACTTTCTTGGATATTCATTGACTGTTGCCGAAATTTAAACAAATGTGATTCAACAAGTTCCGTAATAGATCTCCAAATTCCGCAACATATCTCCCTTTTCAAAAGACGCAAAGTGAATTTACAAGAAGAAAGGTTACTACTCGCATGCCTTCCCCATCAGTAGTATCACTGTTACGCCAATTTCTCTTGTCCTTTTTAAAGTACTTTTCAAAAATTGGTCACTTCTGAGACTCCGTTCACAGATAGGTGAAAGCCCGTAATTGCTTAGTGGGTTAATCTGTTACCATTTTGTTCCTCTAAATATGATGTAGAGTGTACGGCGGTGTTCAGTCAGGTGGAAAACACCTGGAACCGACTGAGTGGTCATCGTTTTCAGAAAATTTTGGTAACAGTCGGTAGATTGATTGCTGGGCAGCGTTTTGATTTCGACACAAACAATTCGTCAGGCCAGATCACCAGATTACTAGGTTGGTCGAGATTTAATTCGGTACCAGAATCAATCAGTCAAGTCAAGCTAAATATCCACTGGGTGTCGGACGGAAGGGTGACCAAACGAAAGTGGCTAACTAGCGCTAACTAAAGCCGCCGTTGTATTCAGTCGCGGGTGTAGCTGAGCCCACACCTCTTTATGTAGTATTTAGGATCACTAAAAGATATTACGGGTCCAATAGTGAATGAGTCGCTCCCTTGCAATCAACTGGGAGTGGTTTATATCTAGACATTGTTTTCTTTACTCCTCTGAGTACTGTGGAATGCGAAAAAGCACTTTTTCGCGGCTTCTCATCGAATGTGAAACGCATTTCTGTATCCGCCTGCTTTAGACGTTAGTACGTTTTGAGTTTCTAAGATCGGACATAATATATGTTTCATCAGTATTTTGCTTTTAACAAACCTCATCTACTAAATGTGCTATTGTGCCTGTTGAGAAGAACTCATGAGTTCACTTTTCTATCAGGTTTGTAGTGGGTGCTGCCGGACAAACCAGTACACCGGATTTTCATAACTGCAAACTACATTAAATAAGCTGGAGGTTTTGTGCCACGAATTTACCCAAAAAATTCCAAATGCAAAATATCTACCGAGTAGTTACAGTCCCTTCGGCTTTTTAAATAGTGAGTAGAACAGCGGATTTCCTCATCACTCTCTCAGTCATAATCGTTGTCAGTAGTATCTCGAAAAGCCCCGCGATAGGCACGGCACGCTAACTATACGCTGGAAGCAAAGTAGTATGGAACTACTCTTTACTTCAGTAACCTCAGAAATATGAGAGGAGGGTGAATAGTCCGTGGACCAAAGAATTCCATTCTATGTTTGCTTATCCGCTTCTCAAGTTCACATATAGTTTGTCACATAAAGTCCATCAGTTTATCGAGGAACTGGAGAACAAAGCAACGTGAAGTCAACACAAGCTTCCGTGAAATAACTGGTCAATCAACATTTCAGTGGCTCTGGGAGTTGGAATAGTATAAAGTTCTCAGAAAGGTTCTAGAAGCGGATGACTTACGGCAGGAAACAATCGAGAGGCAGCTGAAATTTTCGACAGTGAGTAATAATCTGTTTAAGAATCGATTAATACTACTCCTAACTTCGACAGCACAAGTTGTCGTGTTACTGAAACATTCCAAATGAGGATTCAGACTAAGGGTGGTAGTAAGTGATAAATTTCAATTTTGTGTTGAGTGCAGCGGGCACAAAAGTCAGCTGAGTTAAAAACCTCGACTGAAACGTGGAATTAAGGCGATCTGTTACGGCTCAGAAGCGACAGCTTCAAGATAGAGTTTGTTCAGCCTGGCGAAATTGCATGTGTCAGGCAGCAGGCAACAGTGGATGTTGCCCCGAAACCTGCAACTTGCGTTCCTGTAAATGCCAATGACCTATTAGTTTTGTTGCACTTTTTGTTAAGGTGCTCCATCAGGAACAATAAATGTGCATACAAGTTCGACATAAAGATCATCTCCCCTTGACCGACTGCTTGGTTAACTGATCTACTTGTTGGTAGACCTGAGACAAATATCTTACTGTCAGTTTAGTATTTAATAAAAACCAAACTTACTCGATGGAGCGGTAATCTGCGGAGGGGCGCACTGTAAACCCACATCCATAGCGTGCGTACACCATCGCGTCGCACCCCATCCCCCTCCTAGGGTGCACTGATTCAAATCCGTCGCGTGTTCCGGACAACGAATCCCGGACAAGTGAATCGGTACGGTTTCATCGACCTCCTGATGTTTGTACAACACCGGTTGAGCATATTTCAGGTTGTCACTGCCAAATGTACAAAAGGCGACAGAAAAAGTCCACCCGGAAAAACTAGTTTGTACTGGTAGCGTTAGTTCAGTTCATCATCATCATCATCTTCATCATCATCATCATCATCATCATCATCAACAACAACAACAACA